TTCCTCCTGTCGATTCTCAAGCTCTTTGTTTCTGCTATTAGTTTTTGTTATCTCCTCCCTAAGCTCCTTTATTTCTCTTTGGTATATGGCCTCTATCTCCTCTATCATTTCATCCTTTTTCTGTATGACTCCAAGCAGCATTCTGAAAATTTCTTTCTGAGGCAGCTCAATGTCTGCTTCTTCTATGTATGTTGTTATGTTCGGGATATCTTCTGCCATTGCCTTTTGTTTCTCCTTGTTTTTTTGTTGAGGTGGTTGGGGCTAATGGCTGTTTGCATTGCATTGTTTTAGAGAAGCCAGGTGCCATTTTCTAGGGAGTCTAAGAGCACCAGCTCTCTCTAGGAGACTTGTAGGAATGCTTCTTCGAACTGCCTACAGCTAACTATTACTATGGCATTAACCTACCCTTTATCTTCCTGTGGCTTCCCTATCAGAGGAGTGCCCCAGAAGGCTGGTGGGTTGCCTGCTTTGGTGTTGTGGAGGTTGGGCAGAGGTTCCTGCAACAGCTTGGAATGGTGATGAGTGTTGGCCAAGTTGCCTTATGCCCCCAGGTACACAGGCAGGAATTCCCCGGTGAGTGGTTAGGTGGAGTATCCCCTGGAGGGGAAGCAGGGCTTTCCCTAGCCTTGGGCTAGCTACACAGGGTGGGGCTCAGCTAGCTGGGTGTGCTACAGGCTTAAGTGCCCTAGGCTACTGGGAGTGGTCTGGAGGTCAGCAGCAGAGTGTGAGAGAACAGGAAAGAGAGGGGAAAGAAAAAAAAATGAAGAAGTAAGACCGTTTAGACTGTGTGGAGGTGGGTGGGGGAATATAGGGGAGAGAGGGAAATAAAAGCAACTATGTAGCTGAGTCCCACTCCCTGTCAGTGAAGCCACAAGAGTTTAGTCCCTACCCTGAGGCAGTGTCGGCAAGCCACAGTTGCCATAGTTGAGCTGAGAAAAAGCCCCTGAGCAGCCTTAAAAGACTGGGTGGGTGGGGGGCAGACAGAGGGCAGAGATGTAAACAGAAGCAACAATTTAGTTGAACCCCGATCTATCACTGATCCCTGCCAGTGGAGTTGCGAGGGTTTAGTCCCCGCCCCGAGGCAGCGGTGGCAAGCTGTGGCTGTGCCGCGAAAAATCCCCCGTGCAGGCCTCCCAGACTGTGGGAGAACAGAGAGCAGATTGTAAACAAAAGTTACAAAGTAGTTGAACCCAGATCCGCGCCCATGGAGCCCCAAGGGTCCAGTTCCTGCCCTGAGACTGGCGGGGGTAAACTGTGGCTGTGTTGAATCCAAATCCTCCCATGGGCTCCAAATGGTCCCAGCTCCGGCAGAGACAGTGGCAGGGCCACGGTCAAGCCCTAGCTGGCTTCCACTGAGGTAAGCCAAAAACCCCAAGCCCCTCAAAATCCCATGGGTTTGTGCCTACTTATCTTTATGATGCTCCTCCTGCGTTCTAGTTGTGTTAAAGTTCCCTCTAAGCAACTCTCCTGGGCTGGATTCTGTGGAGTCCCTCTGGTATGTGTCACTCCATCGCCATCTTCCCAGAAGTGCCCAAATCAGTGCTTTATATTAATGATTCTTGAAGTATTGGCTTGTGTGGTGCCCAGGAGAGCAAGTGGGACCTCACTTTTCTAGTTTTGCTAAAATTCAAAAATGCTTACTCACCAGGGTTTATGAGCTTTAATTTCCTGATGACCTATTAGGCCTGAGAAGCACACTGTTCACTGTGTTGAGAAATATGATCATTGTGAGGTTGGAGTGAGCCTGGGAATATCTGTACCTCCCACCTTTGCACTTAATTGCCGAGGCCCTCATTGGGTGTGGTTACTGGAATGGCTGGCTGTGGTGGCTGCCCTTGGGAATGTAAGAACCTGAGAGTAATGAGAAAGGTCATGTCTTCGTGGGGAAGATCCTGCCAGCACAAATGACTGCCACCCTCTTTGGCAAACCATGCTATCTTCCTGCCTACGTTATTTTTTTATTGCTTTCTTTGAATTGGAAGATGATAAATGCAAAAATGTATTTACCTTCAAGAATTAGACAAATGTTCATACCTTTTAACTTCTAGGAGCATCCTAAGGAAAGAATTACTAGAAATCTTTGCAGAGATTTGAGTACAGGGATGTTCATTAAAGCATTATTCATAATTACAAAAATTGTAAATGGTGTAAACTTTCTATGGTAAGCCTATTGGCTAAATTACTTGTGTTATAACATTCTTTTGTTGTTGTTGTTGTTGTTATAACATTCTTAAGAATTATATTGGGTAAATAGGTTGTCTTTATGTTCTCTATTTTATTTCTCTTGGTTCTAGTGTCCGTTGCAATGTCTACCCAGAACATAAGAGACAAAATGCATGGTTAACGGGTTTATTAAAGAAGTTCACAAGTTGCAATCCCAGTCAGAAATGCTCAGGATAGTTATTTATTTTGATGTGTTGCAATATTCTTTCAAGTCTGCTAATCATTGTCCAAAGGGGCATACCATTCCGCTGTAAGCCTCAACCCCAAGACAGTCAGCTCACATTCTGAGGGTTAGCACATCCAGCCCCCGAATTGAGTGCCCACAGGCTTCACTCCCATGACTTTCAGCCTAAAGGCCCTCAGCTCCACTTCCCTGGCTCAACAAACCTCGTTCCCTAGCTTAAGTGCCCAGAGGCCCCCACTCTACATGCTCGCCTCCTGCACAAAAGCACTGGGCTTTACTTGCGCCATGGGTTGGGAAGCCTACCGCTGAGCTGCATGCTTTGGCTCCTGTTTCTGCTGCTCCTTCTCTGCTGTTGTAGTTGTCTCTAGATCTAGGAGGTTCACTGCGCAGGACTCGAGTTCAGAAGATGCACTCTACGGCTGGTTCTTGCTGTAAGGAGGTCGCTGCTACTGCATCCTAGAGGACTCATACATGGCAGGATGGCATTCCAAGGAATCTTGTTCACAGTTACTCACAAGTGAATACTATCAGTATCTTCTCCCACCTTCTTGCCAGACCCATGCAGAACAAGGTCGTTGGCGGGAGTTAGAGACTTTGGCTAGCAGAACTGCATTCAATAATTCCCTGCCCCTGCAAAAGAAATATAAGTTGTAAAAAAGAAAAATAGTAAATTGTGTGAAGTAACATTGCAAAATGAAGAATGTAAGACAACAACATTATGTATAGTGTTTAGTGTCTTCTCGATGCACAGGAAACACCTAAGAAGTACGGAAGCCAAATTAGGATAGTCTCTTTTGGTGCTGGAAGGTCACACTCTGTCCCCTTTTGTTCCAATTTCCTAAAATGAGCATATATGAATTTTCTAATGTGCATGTATAAGCTTTAAATCTGTATGAACAAACTGTTTCCATGTCTGAGGACAAAAAAATAATACTTTAAAGAGAAGGAAAAGGGAAAGGTACATAAAAATGTATGAAGCCTTTGAAGTTATTGGTAAAGGGGTGGGAGCTTATGGACATGGAATGCATTTGGAGAGGAAGACTGAGACAAACAGGAAGGAAAGAGCCCAAGTCTCAGGGAATATCAGATAATAATAATACTAATATCAGAAAATTAACTAGCCAAGAAGACAGTGGAGTACAAAGGAACCGGCCTCCTAAGCCCTGGCATTTTCACAGACACATTTCAATGGCAAGATGGTCATGAGCTCCCGTCGATCCAGTCAGACAGGGCCACCCCCGTCGATCCCGGCCTGAGATGAGGTGATGAGAGGGTGGCTTCTGTTGGCATGGTGCCCATCTCCGTGGAGGAGCCCCTTGCTGCACTTTCTCACGGCCTCCCCCAGTCAGAAGAGCTCCCACAGCATGCCTAGTGTACTGGCGTTTATGACAGCCTTCACTGAATGCATCTAACTTCCAGGAAAAATACTGACTCGCACAAAATCCATAAACTGTCGTGGGAATTCTCAGAATAGGGCTAAGTATTCTTTCAAGATGAGGGAGCATATCTGTTCATGAGTTCCATGCAGCATTTGGGATCTGTGGCTTTCAGTTTCTGCTTTGTTTTCCAAATGATGTGCCATTCTTGTAGTGGGCAGAAGTCTCAGCATGAAATATTTTTCATGCAAAAATAGCCCACAGGCATGTAACAATTGCTATTATTATGTGGATTCCACAGACTTTTGACCTCTGAGCTTTAAACATGTATGAACAGGCTGTTTCAGTGTCCAAAATAAAAGTGTGTGTGTGTGTGTGTGTGTGTGTGTGTGTGTGTGTGTGTCCCCAAAGGCAGCATAAGACCAAGGGAAAGCCTTGGCTTAGGAGAAGTGCACTGCATGGGGCTGTCATTGATTTGTGGCCACAATAGGACAGCAAGTCTTCGAGGAGGTGGGTTTTTCCCCTCTACAAACAAAAATCTGACTGCATTCTGCTGAGGACTTTTCTCCATTTCCTTTCACTTGAGGGCGAGAAAAAAAGGTCAATTCCTGGCATGGTGTCCTGGCTTCTTCGTGAGCAGGACCAAAGAAAGGAAATTTCCATTACGCACATTTGGGTTTGTGTGGAGCAGTGTGTAAACTCACATGTGGGCAGCTCGGACACCACCCCCCCCCTTCCTCGGGTACCAGTCCTCTCTTCAAAGTACTGAATAAATGCCCAGAGCTGTGTGGATCCCTCTCTTACCCTTTGAAATTCCACCCTGTAGGTAGAGGTGAAGGCAGTGCTTGGATGCCTCAGGAAGCAGTTCAGGAGTCTGACCCTCTCTGGCCGGGACCTACTAGAAGCTGTGGGTGAGAACAGAGAACCCGGCATCAGGACGCTGACATGTCAACAGCTGACCAGGCGTCTCCTCCTGAGCTTCCTGCTCTGGGCTCCTGGCGGCCACACCATCGCCCAGGATGTCATCACACAGGTATGTCTCCTGTTCTCTGGCATCTTCCTTATCCATGTTCCAGGTAAAAAGTGGGTTACTTGCCTCTACAGAATGCTGCCCCAACATGGGTGAACAGCCAAGGAGTGTTACCACTAAGCCAGCCCACCATCATTCTCTAGAAGAAAACAGAGGCCAGGAAAGGAGGCAACTGCCCCTGGGTCACACAGTGTGCAGTCAGCCTTGCGTCCATAGTGGAAAGACGGTCCCAGCTCCCTGAACTCTTCTCTGTTATCATGCATGGCCCGCCCCCACCTCTAAAAGCATCAAACGTGTCTCACAACCGCTCAGTGCCTTGTGCTCTGGGGCAGCACTGGTGACCTGGGTGTCCTTGAAAGGGCTGGCAGGATGGCCTCTCAGGCCTGCTAGCTTTAACTGTCCCCGTGTGATTCCAGGGTCCCTTGTATGACCTTTTAAGGCAGCGTGTCTCTTCACGAGGCTTGCATCCTGAGACACCCTTCACAATCGCCAAACCACTTAAGTAGGGAATGCGAGGGGTCAGTGCAGGGTCAGCCCCAGGGGCCCCGATGGACCTAGCTCAGCGGCCTTTGCCCTGCTTTCACATGAGCAGTGAGCATCCAGGATTTTATGTACTGGCCCTTAGCAGAGTGGCTAAAAGAATTCCATTGTACCCAATCTTTGTGTATTTGAGTTAAATCAGACCATAAACACACAAACTCTGCCGTCGAATTGATCCCAACTCAGACCCCCCATTGGGTAGCGTGAAGCTGCCCCTGTGCTTCAGGCTCCACATCATCACAGGGGAGAAAACAGCCTCATCTTTCTTCCAAGGAGTGGCTGATTTGGAAATACTGACCTTGTGGTAGCAGCCCAACTTAACTCACTGTAACAAGCACACACCCAGCCTGCCATGGAGTCCATTCGGAGTCCCAGTGCTCTGTAAGACAGGGGAGACTGCTCCTGTGAGTTTCTAGGACTCTAACTCCTTATGGGAGTAAATAGCCTCATCTTCTTCCTGCGGATTGGCTGGTAGTTCTCAACTGCTAGCCCAAGGCAACCCACTGCGCCATCAAAACCACTCATTTGCCATCAAGTTGATTCCAACTCATAGGACGGGGTCGAACAGCCACGTGGGTCTCTGAGGCTGTAACTGCTGGAGTAGAAAGTCTCATCTTTCCCTCATAGAACAGCCAGTGTTCCCACTGCTGACCTTACGGTTAACAGCCCAATCCATAACCACTACGCCACTCGGCTCCCTTCATCAAGACAACGTAAGAATTAACAACCTGCTCTTAAAATAAATAAAACAAGGCAGGTTCCCCACTGCATAGTTTTCTCTTTTCCTGGTGGATCTGGGGGAGAAAGGCTGGGGGCTGGGGAGGAAGATGTCAATCAGATTATTAATCAGGTGACTGGAACCTTATAATTGTAGAAGATGTAACTGAAAGAAAGGGGAATGAATTTTTGCATGTATGAAGAAGACAATGGCCTGTAGTGGAATATAATATTTAATATAGCTCTTCTACCCAAATCTTTGTAACTCCCACCAAATGATTGGGTTGTTGTCATTACTAGGTGCCATCAAGTGCTTCCAACTCATAGGTGCCCTGTGTCCATCAGAAAGAAGCACTGCCTGGCCCTGCGCCATGCTCACAGCTATTCTTAAGTTTGAGCCCAGGGTTGTAACCACTGCGTCCGCCCTATGGAGGGCCTTCTTGTTTTTGTTTCCCCTCTCCTTCATGTGATGTCTCTCTTCAGGGACTGCTCTCTCCCAAAACATGTCCAAATTACAAGAGACAGAGTCTTGCCATCCTGGCTTCTAAGGAACTTTCCAGCTGTGCTTCTTCCAAGACAGATTTGTGGGTTTTTCCCCCTTGGGCGGCACATGTGATTTCCAGTATTCTTCTCCAGCGCCGTTCATTCTACTGCCTTGGTTCTTCTGCCATCTTCCGTATTCACTGTCCAACTTTCACACGCACATGAGGCGGTTAAAAACACCATGGCTTGGGTCAGGCACACCTTAGTTCTCAAAGTAACATCTTGCTTTTCAACACTTTAAAAGCAGCAGTTCTCAACCTGTGGGTCGTGATCCCTTTGGGGGTTGAACGACCCTTTCACAGGGGTTGCCCGATTCAGAACAGTAGCAAAATTACAGTTGCTATGAAGTAGGAACGAAAATAATTTTATGGTTGGGCATCACCACAACATGAGGAACTGTATTAAAGGGTCACAGCATTAGGAAGGTTGAGAACCACTGATCTAAAGAGATCTTGTGCAGCAGATTTACCCATTTCAAGTTGATCTCTTCACCTGGTTGGAACCTGTATATGAATCAAGAGGCAGTTGTGCAAACAAAACAAGGGCATATTGCATGGTTTAAAATCAAAGAAGATGTGTGTTTATGTTGTAGCCTTTCACTGTATTTTTTCAGTTTGTATACTGAGCAAATAATCAGAGAAGCTGGATGAAATGAAGAAGAGTGTGACGACAGGATTGGAAGATGGCTACTGGCGGAGGAGAGGTGGTGTTGTGGGTCAGTGACTGTGTCCTTACTGGTTTTCACTTTGCCTGTAAGAATTGATTTGTACATAGGCGAAACCAGATACACAAAGTTTTTCTTTAGTCTTTAAATGCAAGAATAGAAGCCTTTTCAATTATTTAAAAGCTGCATGTGCTGGTTATGATGAAGAATGTTCTGGGAGGAATCAGTTCGGCATTCTTTTCTCTAAAAATCATTTCATTGGGGGCTCATACAACTCTTATCACAATCCATACATACATCAATTGTATAAAGCATATTTCTACATTGGTTACCCTCATCATTCTGAAAACATTCGCTTTCCACGTAAGCCCTTGGCATCAGCTCATTTCTTCCTGCTCCCTCCTCCCTTATGAACTCTTGATAATTTATAAATTATTTTGCCATACCTTACACTGTCCAACATCTCCCTTCACCCACTTTTCTGTTGCCTGCCCCCCAGGGAGGAGGTTATATGTAGATCCTTGTAATCGGTTCCCCCTCTCTACCCCACCCTCCATCCACCCTCCCGGTATAGCCACTCTCACCACTGGTCCTGAAGGGATCATCCATCCTGGATTCCGTTTCCAGTTCCTCTCTGTACCAGTGTACATCCTCTGGTCTAGCCAGATTTGTAAGGTAGAATTGGGATCATGACAGTGGTCGGGAGGAAGCATTTAGGAACTAGAGAAAAGTTGTATGTTTCATTGTTGTTACATCACACTGAATGGCTCATCTCCTCCCCGAGACCCTGTATGGGGATGTCCAGTAGCCTACAAATGGGCTTTGGGTCTCCACCCCGCACTCCCCCCTCATTCACTAATGATATGATTTTTTTGTTCTGATGATGCCTGATACCTGATCCCTTCGACACCTCGTGATCGCACAGGCTGGTGTGCTTCTTCCATGTGGGCTTTGTTGCTTCTGAGCTAGATGGCCCCTTGTTTCCCTTCAAGCCTTTAAGACCCCAGATGCTATACGTTTTGACAGCCAGGCACCATAGGCTTTCTTCCACATTTGCTTATGCACCCATTTGCCTTCAGTGATTGTATCAGGGAGGTGAACACACAATGATATGATTTTTTATTCTTTGATGCCTGATAACTGATCCCTTCAGCACCTCGTGATCGCACAGGCTGGTGTGCTTCTTCCATGTGGGCTTTGTTGCTTCTGAGCCAGATGGCCCCTTGTTTACCTTCAAGCCTTTAAGGCCCCAGATGCTGTATCTTTTGATAGCCAGGCCCCATCAGCTTTCTTCACCACATTTGCCTATGTACCCGCTTTGTCTTCAGTGATCGCATTGGGAAGGTGAGCATCATGGAATGCCAGTTTAATACAACCCAGTATTCTTACATTGAGGAAGTATTTGAGTAGAGGCCCAAAGTCCATCTGCTACCTTAATACTAAACCTATCAATATATGCCCATAAATCTATTTCCCCATCTTCATATATAAACATATTTACATATGTATATGCCTTTATTTAGACTTCTGTAAATGCCTTTTGCCTCCTAGCTCTTTCCTCTTGTCCCAGTGTCATGCTCAGTCTTCATTTGGGTTTCAGTAATTCCTCTTGGTTACATTACCCTTGATCATGTCCTATCAGGCCTCCTACACCCTCCTCACCACCGGTTTGGATCACTTGTTGTTCCCTTGTCCCTGGGTTTGTTAACACCACTACCTTTCCCCCCACCTCCCCCTATCCCATGTCCCCCCGGAACTTTCAGTCCTGCTGTTTTCTCCTCCAGATTGTTCATCCAGCCTATCTTATTTAGACAGACCTGCGGAGAGAACATGCACAAAAAACAAGAAGAGCAAAACCAAGCAACAATAACAAACCAATGACAACAAAACACAAGAAAGAAAAGCTTGTAGTTAGTTCAAGGACTGTTTGTTGGCCTTTAGGGGTGTTTTCCAGTCGAGTTTGTTGGGGCGCCAAGCCCTCCCCAAAGTCTATTTTTGGTATTCCCTGGGGACTTCATTGCTCTGTTCCCTTGCTTTCTGTTGCACACCCTTAGTGTTTTCCCTCGGTGTGGTGGGATCAGATCGGGTGCAATTCCCACACTCTGTCTCCAGTGTTATCTCCTGTATGGTTAGTGAGGGATGTCGTGTCTCATAGTGGGGCCAGCCATGTGGTCTTCTCTGTGGATTGGCTGCTCTGAGCGGGAATATCGTCCTCAGGGCTTGGTGGGCCCTGTAAAGTGTTAAAGAACAAAAATGTCATTCTGTGGACTAAGGTGCACCCTAAAGCTGGATTTGAATAAGGAAGATCAGGGAAGAATGGATACATTTGAATGAAAGTGTTGGGGAAGAGATATTGAGAGTACCTTGAACTGCCATAAGACGAACTAAATGTGCCTTAGAAGTACATCCAGAATGCTCCCTAGAAGTAAGGATGGTGAGACTTTGCCTCACCTCCTTTGAACTTGTTTTCAGTAGAGCTCAGTCCCTCACCCTTGGTAGAGGCCAGTGAAAAAGAGGAAGACCTTTGACAAGACACAGTAACTGCAAGAAGGGGCTCAAACAATTGTGGGAATAATACAGACCCAGGCAATATTTCATTCCATTGTACATAAGGTTGCTATGGACCAGTCAGTACAGTGGCACTTAAACACACCAAGAACTAGTTGATAAAGTTACTTCTCATGAAGAATGCTCAACAGTTCTAAAATCACTGTACATGTATACTAGAATTGAACAATGAAACAAATTGTAGCCAGATTTCTCATTGCACATAGGCAAGGTAGAAAACTAGATTGAATGTCAATTAGAGTTGGAGACATTTGTATGAACTCATGCTTAGCTTACTACTGATACAGATGACTATATATTTACAAGTATGCGTAAATACATGGATTATAATTCACACATTTATCTCCTTGCTCTGTCAACTGAGAGGGCCTAGCAGCAACCGAAAAACCAAACTCCGCCAACGAGTTGGTGCTGACTCATAGTGACCCTACAGGACAGGGTAGAACTGTCCCTGAAGATTGACTCTTTTTACAAAAATCATTGTATTGGGAGCTCGTACAGTTCTTATCACACTCCACACAACCATCCACTGTGTCAAGCACATGTGTACATATTTTGCCATCATCATTTTCAAAACATTTTCTTTCTACTTGAGCCCTTGGTATCAGCTTATTTCGACCCCCTCCTCACCCTCCCTTCCTTATGATCTCTTGGTAATTTATAATTTTTTTTCATGTCTCATACTGACCGCTGTTTCCCTTCACTCATTTACCTGTTGTCTGTCCCCCTGAGAGGGGGTTGAGATTATAACTCTTTACCAGAATAAAAAGCTCTAGCGTTCTTCCATAGAGCAGCTGGTGGATTCGAACTACTGACTTTGTGGATTATAGCCTACCATGTCACCAGTACACTACCAGGGCCCCTCTATGAGCAACACCCCAGTAGAAATGAGCACATGGAGTGTGTACATCTGGTTTCTAAAGCCAGGCTACAATCAAAAGGAATGGAGCTCTGTGAAGAAATGGCAAATTCTAGGACTAAGACAGGAAAAGTACATGATGAGCCTGGATAATCTTGGAATGCTAGACAGTAAGGAAGTGCTGCTCGGTGACCAGGAATGGAGCAATTTCAGCCACAAAATCGGTGAAGTCAAACCCCAGACCAAATGCCGTCAAGTCCACCTTGACGACTCAGAAACAACTCTGTGCACAACCGAATGAGACACTGCCCTGTCCTGTGCCTCCTCACAATCGTTCTTCTGTCTGAAGTCATTGCTGACTCAGAGAAGTCCTGTAAGACGGAGCAGAACTGCTCCTTGGGTGTCTGAAGCAGTACATCTGTATGGGCACAGGAAGCGTCATCTTTCTCCTTTGGAGCAGTTGGTGACCTTGAGCCTCCAACTTTGTGATAAGCAGTCCAGTGCATATCCCACAGCACTAGATCCTTACCTAAAGTATGAATGGAATATCTATCATGCGTCCACACTCACGTAAATACGTGATTGAGTAAACAAGTAGGGAAACAGACAATCCCATAGTGTCAGAGAACCCTAAACAGAGTTGATACTCTGCTATGAAGGAGTGGGAGCTGAACTTCCTACCCCATCTGTGTGGGCTGTGCCTGGTGCATTCCTTCCACGGAGAACAAGCATAAAGGAGGGGACAGACGAGTAACGTTTAAAGTGGAGAAACACTACCTTAGCTGGGTGATCCAGGTCTACATCAACAGTGAGAAGTCATCAGCAGCATATGCCTCTGATAGGATGTGATGAGAATGGCACTTTACCTTTACAACGTCTCTCCTCCAAACTGTGACTCTAGTCCACTCATGAGGACAGCATTGGACAAAATACCAAGTCAGCGTCGACAGTGACTGGCACAGTCGTCATGTCAAGGCAAGCCTGAGGCGCTGTCTTGGCCAGAAGGAGCCTCAGGAGACATGGCTAAATGTCGAGTGGTGCTCTGGGTGGTGTCCCCGCACTGGAAAAGGGATGTGAGGGGGAAGCTGAGGAAATCAGATTCCAGTCCGGACTTCAGTTGATAATGAGTGACCATGTCAGTTAATGAATGACAATAAATGGTCAGTACCAGTTTAAGGGGTGTGATGGGGGAGCCAGGCATGGTGGGTGTGGAAAACTACAAATCTAAACCTGTCCTAAAATGAAAAGCATATGGGCCTTTGGGGATCCTAAAGGTACTGGCCTCTGGCCCCAGGTCTGGCCTCCTTGCATGTTGAGGGGTCTCAGCCGTGCAGGAGCTGCTTGGGCCTGCTGCTAGAATAGTGGAAGACTACACCCCCACCCCCCACCCCACCCCGCCTGCTTCACAGATTCCTCAGTCTGTGCTCCCCTCTAGGTCCCAGCCCCTCCCTGCCGGAGTAGCGAAGCAGGCCGCAGCCCAGCTGTCCAGCTCAGGGTTATCCCACACTGGACTGTTCTGTAAAGTCAGAAGTCAATACCAGTAACCCACACTGACACAGGGCCAGCACAGGCAGCCTGTGGCCCATCCAGACCCCGGTTTTTCAGATCCCCCAGTGAATCTGGATGAAATGCAGATGTTGACTCAGTTTCTCTAGTCTAAGAATGCAGCTCCTCTGTAGGGGGTCGAACCAGGAAGAACCCTGCAGAAACCCTGGAGAGACCCTAACTGGAGCTCCTGGGGAGGCACTTCTGCTATTCCAACTGCATCTCACTCTTCAGGAGAAGCAGTGTACATTTAAAATTGACCCGTCCAGCCGTAGAGAGGCTGCTGCTGGAAATAAGGCATTCCGAGGCCAGATCATGTGATGAAGTTCAGCATTGGGCCACCCTTTCCACCCACACGCTAGCTGCTCTACAGCCCCCACCCTCCAATAACTGCAGACAGCTGTCTGGGCTAAGCATATCCCCCGAAGCATTCCCATTCTGTAGCATTCTTCCTCCCTCCCTGCCCACTTGCTGCACTACTCTCCCTCCGTGGTTCTGAGATGAGGCTGAGGTAAAAACTGCCAGTCTGGAGTCTTCCTGCCCTGCTGCCACCTCATCTTCCTCTTCCTCGTCATTCACCCTCCTCCCCCTCCTGTCCTATGATTCTGGACCAACAGCAATAACAACAACAAAAAGGTAACAAGAAACTGAAGTTGTTTTATAGTTCTTGAGCACAAGATCAAGGATTTCATTCGACAGACTCAAACCAGCCCAACCCAGCAGGCTCTGGCGTTCTCTTCCTTGGCTGCAATGGGGAGGGTTTGTCATGGTAGAGGGCTTTCGTGGGACATTCGAGAGTTGAGTTGGCTTATAAAGGGGGCAGGGGATTAGATGGGCCTTATGTTGGCCTGAAGAAAGTCCTTGTAGTCCCTGGATACAGCTGCTGTAAGCCTTCCCTACTTGGGGCTTCAGTGTCCAAGGGAGGGCATGCACATCTGGCAAAGGTACATCTAAACATCGTGTGTGTGTGTGTGTGTGTGTGTGTGTGTGTGTGTGTGTGTGATCAAAGCAGAAGCAAGTGGTGATGGTACATTACCAGGGGTCCCATGAGGCCCAGGCTGCACAGCCTTTGTTTCCTGGAGCAGAGCTTGGCTCATTTCCATGAGTTCCATGAGCCCTGGCCAGCTCAGCTCTGTGAGCCCAGGTACCACCTACTTGCAGGTGTATGGCCAAGGAGAGCTAGCCCATGGAGATGTGGGTGGTCCCCTGGCCTATGGAGCCCCACCCTCCCTTATCCCTTAGTAGAAGACTGACAGGCATTCCCCAAGGCAGCCTTGCAGACAGAGGGCCCATTGAGTGTTCCCTGGCAGCAGCAGACGGCACTGCTGTGACTAATTGAATGTTAGCCTGAGGCTTCTACGGAAAGCGACTCAAGATTTTCTTTGGAAATGTGCTGTCAGCTGCTGTCTAGTCGGCCCAGCTCTGGCTGACTCCATGCACCACTGAAGGACACACCGCTGCCCAGGAGCATTTCAAAACTTGAAAAGAACCATTCGGACTCATAATGACCCCGTAGGGCAGAGCAGCACTGTTCCCTAGGGTTTCCAAGGATGTCAGTCTCTAGGGGGTTGGGGAGCCTTCTCCATCTGGCAACTTTTCAGTTATCAGCCCAGCCCTACGCTGCTTGTGTCTAAAAGCTGTTGTGAGTCTCACCACCCCACCCCACCCCCACTTTTCTCAACTGAAATTCTTACGAGAAATACTTAAAAGGTCCCAACAACCACGAATCCCTAGAGCCTGTATTTAGAAGAACTAACAATGCTCATGTTTTCTGCACACCCCCACCCCCACTGTGAGAATCAGGTGTTCCAGCTGTAAACCATAAAAACAAACAACCCCATTGCTGTCAAGTCCATTCTTACTCACAGCGACCCTCAGGTTATTCCCCCACCCCCGTCTTGGCAGCTAGCTCTGTTAGGTCCTACATGCAGCCTTAACTACTTATTGAAAATCCAGTCGGCGGGGCCCCTTGTCCGTTTGTAGAAACAGGTGTGTGGAGCTGTGTGAGGGCCAGGCTTTGCAGAAAGTCATGCCATAGCATGTGCATTGGCCTTCTCTCCCCACTGCAAACAATCCCAAAGCTTATGGATGCATCAAGTCAATGCTTGCCTCAGGGCAGGCTTCTTGGTAGCCTTGTGGGTCTAACACAGCTGCGCGACTCCCTGTAGGAAACAGGGGTCTTTAGGATAGTAATTTGCTAACTTCACAGCCAGCCTCAGAAAACAAGACTTGTTTTGTTCATTGCCTTGAAAGAAGAAGATACGAAGGTTTGTGAACAATGAGACAGAACATGTCTGTAATATGTTTCTATGTGTCTTCTCTCCTTCATCATTGCAGCTAGCTCAGACTGAAGAGATGACCCGGGAGATTATTGGCTTTCTTGACCAAACGGTATACAGATGGGAGCAGCTTTGCATCGAAGCCCCTAGACTTGGAATGGTGGCCAAAGAGCTCCTAACGGAACTACAGACTCGAGCCAAGCACAGCTCTGCACACCATGTGACTGGGGTGAGAGGGAGGTCAGACTCACCAAGGCCACAGGACAGTGTCCACTCTGAGGTGTGAGGAGGAGCAGGCCAGCATGGGAAGGTCTGGTTGTACAGTGCACAGAATGGGAAGGAGAGGTGCTTCAACCCAAACTGGGGCATGCCTTCCCTGTCCCTGCTCATGTAAGATGGTAGAGAATCACCAAGGAAAAACTTCGCTGGGAAATTGACTTCGTTTTTTGTTCTCTCGTTTTTCCCATATCACGTCAAGAGGCACAGCTATTATTTGATGGCTTCAAGTCTTTGGATCAGAAAATTGGCCATGAACCACAAGTGAATTTAGAGAGGAACTTAGCCCTTTTTCACAAGTTTTTTGTTTTGTTTTAAGTCAGGTCATCGCTAAATGTTTTCCTTTTGAATCATTGGAATCTGAAGCTCTTTTTATATACGACAAAGCCAGGTTCTTTTGCTTCCCTAAGAAGTTCTTCATCTAAAAAAGTGACATCCCTCAAATTTCCCTCCAGCCTCCCCAATCTGACCAGGAAGAATCAGACCACACCCAAGCGCAGGAGCAGGAAGGGGTGATAGGCTACCAGACAAGGAAAGACATGGTTTTCCACCCACTGTGAAAGCTAATTGCACTCCTTAGGAATGAAATAAAGCCAGCCTTAGTATTGACCCGTTTTTCTTTGTATTTTACGAAATGTTGACTATTCAGAAAAGAGTTCTTTTAAGTAGTTCAAAGATGGCCAACAGGCGAGGAATGGGTATGTTTTCAAAACATTGCAACAATATTGATTGTTCTGTTGAACTAAAATAGAAGTTGAAATTCCTAATAAAAAGTTGGTAACCACAATGTTAACATTTATTTCACATCACTTCATTTTTTTCTTGTGGATTTATTCTTAGCTTATATTCACTGTAACTTCCTTGCATATTGTATTGTATTGTATTGACAATCACTTGTATTGTCAAGTGAGTCAACATTTCCTTGTAGCCCAGGTTGATTTACGTGTTAAGTCATCTCTGAATATCATCACCATGCCACTTGTCTTGCGGCATGAGTAGGGGTTATTGGATTCGAGTGTGAGCTTTTGTTTCAGTGTCTGGCAGAGTTGATAGAGCCACGTGAAGGTCTGGAAAATCCCAAGGACTTTCACCTGGACCTTTCTTCTGAGAAATGTCATAGCAGAAAGGTACACTATTAGACTACTTGGATCACAGCTGCCACCATTATTTTAGTATAAAAATGCTTCATCAAAATGCATAGTATTAGAAAGGAAATGTGTGCTTCACTTGATGTTCGGGCATCTCTCTCATGCTGAGTTTGACTTGAAGCTTAGAGAACCTTCCACAGAAGTTGTGGCGAATCACCATTAGACTCTATAAAAGGGGCTCAATGTAGTGACAGAAAGTAGCCATGCTACCATGTATAATCCATTCACACTGCAATGTGATTGTGCTTACCAAGTTTTCTGCCTTTCCCATTCCGTCTGCTCGTGGTATTTCACAGCAAACAATAAAAACAACTGTTTAAACTTCAGAACCTATTCCAAAGCCCCAATAGTCAAAACAGCCTAGTACTGGCACAATGTTAAATAGATAGACCAATGAAAAAGAATACAAAACCCAGAACTAAATCCATCTACCTACCGGCAACTGATTTTCAACAAAAGACCAAAAACCATTAAATGGGAAAGGGAAAGTCCCTTTACATGGTGCTGGAAAAATCGGATCTCCATCTGCAGAAGAATGAAACAGGACCCACACCTCATTCCAGGGACAAAAACAAACTCAAGATGGATTAGAGACCTCAGTGTAAATCCCAGAGCTGTAAAGATCATGAAGGAGAATGGGTCCTGTTGCATTTCATACACGTACCACCACATATAATAAAGGGAACACACATTGTAGAAGAATGGGATGTACTAAAAATAAGACATTTATGCACATCAAACAACTTCATTAAAAAAGTAAAATGAAAAAAAAAAAAGTAAAATGATACAGAGCCGGCCCCAATCCCAACTACATGGACACTCCCCCTCTCCCCTCCCAGAAGAATGCACTACACAGGACAGCACTGAACCTACAGCTCAGGGAGAGGGGTGCGTCTGATGAGACCACGCAGGAGCAAATGAAAAGGGGAGGAGAGTGGAACACATCCTGGCCCACCAAGCCCTGAGGATGACATTCCTGCTCAGAGTACCCAGTGTACAGAGAGGACCATAGGGCCAGCCCCACCACGAGACAAGACGTTTCTCAATGACCCATATATCACTACGAGGGTCAACACTGAAGGCACAGTTCGGGAATTGTGCATGATCTGACCCCACCACTCTGGGGCAAAAACTTAAGGGCGTGCATCAGTCAGAGCAGCAAGGGGAGCAAAACAATGAAGTCCCCCAGGGAAATACCGAAAACAAACTTTGGGGCCAGGGCCTGGCACCCCATCAGACTCAACCAGAAAACAACATGCCTAAAGGTCAACAAACAGACCTGGAACTACTTATAGGCTTTTCATTTTTTTGTCGTTGTTTGGTTTTTTGGTTTCCTTGTTTTGTTTTGCTCTGCCTTGTTTTTGTGCTTATTATTATCCCTGCATGTCTATCTAAATAAGAAAGGCAGGATAACAATAGGACCAATGGTTGGGGGTGGGGCATGGGAGAAGGGAGGTGGGGAAAGGAAGTGGGTGTTAACAAACTCAGGGACAAGGGTAGAACAAGTGATCTAAAATCGATGGCAGGGAGCAAGCCCTGGTAGGGCTTGATCAAGGGCAATGTAACAGAGGAATTACTAAAACCTGAATGAAGGCCAAACATGGTAGTGGGACAAGAGGAAAGTAAAAGGAAATAGAGGAAAGAACTAGGAGGCAAGGGCATTTATAGAGGTCTAAATACAGGCATGTACATATTTAAATATATTTTTATATATAATGATAGGGAAATAGATCTATGTACATATATTTATTTAAAGTAGCAGACAGACATTGGGCCTCTACTCAAGTACTCCTTCAATGCAGGAACATCTTGTTCTAATAACCTGACATTCTATGGTGCTCACCTTCCCAACAGGATCGCTGAGACAAAATGGGTGCTTAGCAAATGTGGTGAAGAAAGCCGATGGTGCCCGGCTATCTAAAGATATAGCTTCTGGGGTCTTAAATGGCTTGAAGATAAACAAGTGGCCACCTAGCTCAGGAGCAACAAAATCCACATGGAAGAAGCACACCAGCCTGTGTGATCATGAGGTGTCGATGGGATCAGGTATCAGGCATCAAAGACCCAGAACAAAAAATCGTATCAATGTGAATGAGGGGGAGTGCAGAGTGGAGATCTAAAGCCCAGCGGTAGACAATTGGACAAATATACAACTTTTCGCTAGTTCTCCAATGCTTTCCCTCCCCCGCCCCACTATCATGATCCCAATTCTACTTTACAAATCCAGCTAGACCAGAGCATGTACACAGGTACAGATGAGATAGAAACAGAGGGAATCCAGACAGATAGACCCCTCAGGACCAACAGTGAGAGTAGCGATACCAGGAAGGGAAATAGAAGGTGAGGGGGGAAAGGGGAAACTGATCACAATGATCCACATATAACTCCGTCCCTGGGGAACAGACCACAAATAAATTGGGTGAAGGGAGACATCAGTCAGTTTAAGACATGAAAAAAATAATAACAATTTATAAATTATCAAGGGTGAGGAAGGGGAAAATGAGAAACTGATAACAAGGACTCAAATAAAAAATGCTTTGAAAATGATAGCAACATATGTATGAATGTGCTTGACAAAATGGATATTTGTATTGTGATGAACGCTGTATGAGCCCCCAATAAAATGATTTAAAACAAAAATAGTAAAATGAGAGCCCATATACTGGGGAAGAAAATATTTGCCAATGACATTGTGGACAAACGACTAATTACTACAATCTATAGAATTCTGCAACACCGCAATAAAAAAAAATCCAATTAAAAAGTGGGGAAAAGTCATGGACCAACAGTTCACCAAAAATTACACTCAAATGGCTAACAAACATGATAAAATACAATCCCTAGCCATCCAAGAGTTGCAAATGAAAACAATGAGACCTCACCTTACACCCACAACAATAGCCTAATTAAAATAAAAAACAAATGCTAGAGAAGGCGCAGAGAGATGGGAACTTACATACTGCCCGTGGGTTTATGTACAGCCATTGTGGAAAGCAATATGGCACTACCTAAAAGAACCAGGAATCGAATCTCATAAGATCTGGCAATACCTCTGCTGGATATATACCCTGAAGAAGTAAGAGACACAACATGAAGAGATGTATATTCTCCCATTTTCGTTGCAGCACGGTTCTTGCTTCTAAGAAGACGGTAGAAGCAGCCCAAATGCCCATCAGCAGAAGAATGGATAAAGCAATTCTGGTACATATAAACAATAGAATACTATGCATCCCTAAAAAACAGTGACAAAACACCTCATAGCACGGACTGTATTAGGCATGGTTCTTCAGAGAAGCAAAGGCAGGACATTTATGAGTTTATATAAATAGGTAAAACTTATATGGCAAAAGGGAATTATAACAGCAAAGCAGCCTGCACAGCTGTACAGAGAGAGCTCATTCCAACTCACTTTCATGGGTCAGTTAATGTATTGAATGCCTTCTCAACTCACATGGCCATTAGACCCAAAGACGAAGCAGAAAGTAGAAAGATGAGGCATAGTGAAGCGTAGCAGGAGCCAGTAGCACAATATGACAAAGCAAGTCATGGAACTCTCACAGTGTGGCAATGAGAGGCAAATGGCTGGCAGTGCAGCATGTTGAGGTGAGGTGGCCCATAGGCAGTGCAGTACGACATGGCGAGGCAAGGAGGCCTACAGGCAGAATGGCATGGTGTGGAGGCAGTGCAGTGTGGTGCACATGGTCAGGCAAGGTAGTTGGATCAGAAAGCACACCAGTCCAATGAAGGGAAGAGAAAAAGGGGCAGACAGGCCCCCACAGCATATCTAGGCCATACCTCCAAGAAATGTCAACAGGTTGTGACCTGATTGACAGGCTGGACTCCATGCTTATCTTTACAGGTGCTGTGTTGGCACAAAACAATCACACCATCACACTGCACCCCTTGTCAACTTAGAACCTGTACGTAACTCTTAACCATACATAATCTACAAACAAAGACATTCATTAAATCATCCTTGCACCTAACATTGTATAGCCAACATATGGTAACCAAAAACACACTGACCCTATTTGCATCTAGTATAAATGATCAAGAGAAAAATATTTGATGCAGATATATGAGGAAATACTGACAGTTATAGACCTCACCTTTGCAATTGATCACTTGGCCATAATTGATACTTAGAACTACTGTTCTACACTACCTATTCTGTATTCCCTTTGTCCTCAGCCGGAACCTCAGCTGGTCATGGGTCTTTGCCTGGTGGGGTGACCCAGACCTCCTTTCCTGGTGGGTGTGAGACATTAGTAGTCATGTCACTATTGGGTTCCTGTA